GGGAACCAGTCAGCTTGGCTTTGAATCTTAGTTCTGCCACATATTAGCTGTGTAATCTTGGGCAAGTCTCAAAACTTCTGTCTGTTTCTTAATTAATCTGAAACATAAGGTTATGAACAGTACCTATTCCTTATAAAGATCATTATAAAGATTTAAAAGTTCATACAAATAAGCTTGCACAACAGCAAACAGCATTTTTTAATGTGATAGACACTGCAAAATAGAGCTAGTTATAAATTATATGAAAATCCCACTGTATCAAGAAATGTCTAAAATATATTTCAATACTTGCACAATCTAAGAGATGGTCCACTTCCCCTTGCTTAGAGGAAAGGAGCTGCTCCTCATCTGAAGACCTGGCAGCTGCCTCCTATGGGAGACACCTATCTGATGATACTTGCCTTCCTCAAGACCTGCACTCACCTACCCTCAGACTTCTAGTCCATTACCTGACTAGAAAAGTACTGTCTCTGCTGCAATAGGAAAGCAAATATTTACTGAAGAGCTACAGAACCTGGTTAATACATACTGACAGAAACCAGAACAGTATGCGGAAGAATGGATCTTGAAGATACTAGAAGAGCTAATGCAAATATAAGGATGGATAAAGCACATTTTCTTGCAACCTGGGATTTAAGGTCCTAGCAAGGACAACCAAAGCCAGCTTAACATAGAGCCAGGATGATTTGTTCATGCTTTAAAAAAAAAAAGTGCTTTTAGTAAATATGGAAGAAATACTAGAGAGCCATGGCAGGATACTGAAAAGTAGGTCCATAGGTTCAGAGATAGGCATGCTTAAATGGATTTATTACATAAAACCAGAGAATCAACCAGCTATGTTCCCTAGAAGAGTCCAGAACAATAGGCAATAAGGTATGCGATAGTGAGGCTATTACAGTGGTAGGGGAGGCTGCCAAGGAACAGAACCCATTAGTATCAATGGAGATGACATGATTCTATAACTGAAGAGGCCAGGTGGTTAGCTTTTAAAAATCAGAGGCTAAGTGGCTGTTAACTGCATAACAGACAGCAAAGCTGGAATGGCACTGATCTGTAAGCATCCATAACAGTGTTTGTCCACCTAGCTGGAGACTACAGTTCCCAGCATTCCTTGCAACTCAGTATAGCAGTATGTCTAATTGTTTTCAGTAGGATGTAAATGAAATGATATGTACAAGATATATTATCCCTCCAATTGGAAATGATGAAGATAACTTGGAAGCTAAATGTTGAGGATGGCAGAGCTACTCCACTAGCTGGAGCACTTGGATTTCTTCAAGGAGAACGCATCTACTATGAAGGACTATTATGTGACAGGAAAATAAATTCTACCTTGGTTAAGCCCTTCATTTTTGGGGCTGCTTGTTAAGCAATTTAGCTTTTACTCTAATACAGGTATCAGCAAATTACAATGGTTAGTCCAAATCCAGTCTGCTACCTGTTTTGTACATAAAGAGTGACTGAAACACAGCCATAAGCAATCTGTTTACATATTGCCTATGACTGCTTTTTCACTACAAGAGCAGATATGAATTATTATGACATAGATTATATAGCCCACAAGACCTAAAATAATTGAAATCTGGTCCTTTACAGAGAAAGGTTGCCAATATATGTTCTAATACACAGCCCTTCTCGAGAAAGTGTTCAATATTTTATTTTTCATTTTTATTTTGACTGCCCAAATGTTAAACGTTTAGCCAACGAAAGCAAAAACACCCTTAAATAAATCTAGAATTGCCAAAATGCTTAAAAGGGAGGGCTATATACTTTTAATCTATGTAAAATCAGACAAATGTCATAAATATCTTCAATTAAAAACAGCTATTACTGTTAAACTCTAGGCAAATGGTTTCAAGTTACTGGTCTTTCAACTACTATACATGAGTGCTAAGGAACAAAGTAAAAAAAAACAAAAATGATTACTGTACATAAGAAATTTAATGTATTATCATGAGAATACCTGAAAACTCTGAATCACAAACTGGAAAAGAGCTGAGAATGAAATCAACACCCTCAAGTAAATGTTCACTAGTAAGCTACAAACAGAACATTTAGTATTTAAATATAAATAATGTAATTGGGCTACCCTAGGCACACAACTGCCAAAACATATACAAAATATTTACTACTTCTTTCAACATATTTAGCTTGATATTAATAATGCAGCAGGTAATATTACTTTTAATAAACAGCCTGAAAAAGTACAGTGCTATTAAAGTGGGTTGTATTTTCACTTTTATCAATAGTGAAAAATCCAAAGTTCACTAACCCCACAATCTGATCTATTTAGGATATAACACTAGCCTTTCATACTAAGGGGACAAGCTAATTTGAGTGGATATAAATAAAATTAAAGATGACATACCTACTTCAAAAAAGTTATCAGGAAATGACATTTTTATAGAAATGTATATTTTCTGATTGTTGAAAAAAAAATATGTAATTCTACCAAGGAAGTTTATTTTAACAAAAAAGTTACTTCTTTATATTTCTCATCTCAGCAGCTAGTTAAAAATATTCTTTCTACATCTGTGGTAAGATAAAAAGGAGGATGAAGATATGTACTTCAAACTGGCAAGCAAAGAAGGTTATTAAATTTCATTTAACTGAAATCAAAAATAACTTCCTGATGTAATTTCTTAAAATTTACTATTAACAATTTTTAGATATAATTTATATATACTGAAATGCACACATCTGAAGTGCACCATTTGGTCAGTTTTGACAAATGCATAACCCATGTAACTTAAACCCTTATCAAGACATGGAATATGTCCATCATCATGAAGAGCTCCCTTGTGCCCCTTCCTAGTCAATTCTTCTGGAAATAACCATTGACTGGATTTCTACCAGTAGAGATCAATTTATTATAGAACATAATATAAACATAATCACTGAGGAGTTTTGTGCCTTGCTTCTTTAATAGATTCCTCAGCATTTCTAAATACACAATCATGTCATCTACAAATAAAGACAGTTTTACTTCTTTCTTTCCAATCTGATGTATTTTATTTCTTTTTTTGCCTTCCTAGACTGGTTAGACTTCCAGTAAATGTTGAATAGAAGTTACACAAAATGCCAACTTTATTTTATTCCTAAATTTAGGAGAAGAATTTTCGATATTTGACTATTACATGTATTTTCTATACAAGTAAGTTTCCTTCTTTTCCTAGTTTTCTCAGAGATTTTTTAAAAAATAATAGTTGTTGAATTTTGTCAAAACCACATTTGTACACCTACCAAAATGTGAGTTCTTTAATCTGTTATAGTGAATTGCACTGATTGATTTTTTTATATGATAAACCCACTTTGCATTCCTCAGACAATTCCACTTAGTCATAAAGTATTACCCTTTTAACATATTGCTGGATTGGACTTACATTTTGTGATGAGGAATTCTGGTCTATAGTTTATTTTTTTAAATAATGTTCCTATCTGATTTTGGTGTCAGGATTATGGATGCTTCATAAAGTGAGTGAGGAAGTATACTCTCTTCTATTTGGGACAAAAATGTATTAATATTGGCATTATTTTTTCCTTAAAGTTTAATAGGATTCACTAGTGAAGTTCTTTGTGGAAAATTCTTTTAAGTGAACTCAATTTCTTTAATGGATACAGAATTTAGCAGATTTTCTGTTTTTTTCATTTATCAGTTTTGGTAAATTGTGTTTTTTAAGGAATGCATCCATTCATTTAGGTCGTCAAATTTATTGGCATAAAGTTTTAGATAATATTTCTTTGTTATTATTTTAAGGCCTGTAAGTAGTGATATCCCTTCTTCTATTCCTGATATTGGTAATTTGTGTGTTCTTTTTGTTGGTACACCTTACTAAGTTTACCAATTAATCTTTTCAAAGAACCAACTTTTGGCTTTGTTCAGATATTTTTTGTCTATTTTCTATTTTATTGATTTCTAGTATTATTCTTATTTCCTTTATTGTATCTGCTCAGGAATTAATTTGGTCCTATCTTCTTAAAGCATAAGCATAGGTCACTGGTTTTATAGCCTTCTTCTCTGCTAATAGAGCCATTTAATACAAATTTTCCTCTAAGGACTACTTTAGCTTCACCTCACAAATATTTATGTTGCGCTTTCAGTAGCACTCTTTTCAAAATGTTTTCTAATTTCCCTTGTGATTTCTCTTTGACCTGTGTATTATTTAGAAGTGTGCTATTTAACTTCAAAATATTCAGATATTTTTCTATTTATTGTTATTGATTTTCAATTTAATACCATTATAATCAGAGGACATACTCTGCGTAATTTTGTCCATCTATTAGTCCAGTTTACGTATTCTATAATTTAAAAGCTGAAATAAAGACAAATCATCTGCTAATGACTGCCTCAATAAAACTAGTGTATTAATTTTAATTTTACACAGATGTTTACTGTATTACCTAATTTCCTTAGTTTCCCTAGTCTGTATCTTTTTAAGAAATAGGATTTATATAAGTGTAGTCTAAGCCAGAAGCTAATAAAATTTAAAAAGCTAAAAAAAAAGAGATTAAGAAAAAGCACAACACAGAAAATATAATCAGTAGTTCTGTACCATCTACGTTGACAGATAGTAACTACATTAGTTGGGGTGAGGATTTAATAATATAGATAACTGTCGAGTCACTATGTTGTATACCTGAAACCAAGTTAATATTGTATGTCAACTATACTTCAATAAAAAATATATATATTAAAAAAATGTAGTCAGTCTCAAATTAACTATCCTGGTTACAGTAGGGTGGAAAATACATTCTGAACACAATGGTAAAAGACACCACATATGGGAGCAATCACTAATGAGGCATTAAGTTTCCAAAGTCAAATGTTTTCTAGAAAAACACACACACACACACACACACACACACACACACACACACACACAACTCCTATATAACCAATATAGTTTTTAATCCAAACGCTTCTACTGAGCATTTGTGGACAACTGATGAATTAGTTGTAAATACCATTACCTACTCTCATTTCATTCAGGCAATCTTACCTTAGAGTACATTCCATTTCCATTTCAGAGTCTGTAGATAAAACACGGAAAACGTATTTGTCGACTAACAATGAAAAACTGTCTCCAGGATTCAACCAGCGCCATAGATTTTTCTTCAGTGGTAAGAGCTGGCTCTTCTCAGAAGACTGATAAAAACATGGATTTGTGTGTATCTAACAAATAAAAAAAGAATGCAGTGAGGTTGTAACTCAAAATTATGACTAAAGTAAAAATGTGAACTGATCCAAAACTTTAATATCAAAACAATTTAAGTATAAACTTAGACTTCAAAGTCTAAAAAATCTGGCATTATAAGTACCATAATTACTATCTATACATGAAAAAGGAAAAAAGCCATAATAGACCTCTCATTTCTCTAGGAATCAAAGAAAAAATCAAAGTTAATTAACTGGTTAAAAGATACTTCCATTTTGCTTACAAGAAACAAATGGACACTGGAAAGAAAAACATGAAAAATAATTCTCAGTGTGGAAACTGAGTCCTCTCCCCATTCCTCCACCTACTTTATTGGTCTAAATGAGACTTTTTCTAGAGACATCAACAACCTCTGTAGTACAACAAGGTAACTGTACCCTGGCATTGGACATATGCTGACCATGCCCAGTTTTTCCATTTGTACTTTACTACAGTATCTTGAGAAACAACTCTATTTTCATATATCAAAAACTTTTCTGATCCCAATCATTTAAAATACCTACAGGTGTTAAGATATGTCCTATTTACCCTGAATTTGAACAGCCTAGATTCTGCATAAATTCAGTAGACAAAAACTGTTCTTACTGTAAAAAATATTCATTATGGAAAAATAAGTTTATAAAAGGTCTATTTTTAATATGGGTATTTTGAAATTCTAGAAATGCATCAGCTCTTTACTTTTTTTCTTTTTACTCTTCAACAATTTTTTTTCATTGGGATATTTGGTTAAAATTTTTATTAAATGTAGTTACTTTCACTTTTTAAAAATCTTAAGCCTTTATAGACTACAGCTAAGTAAAATAAAATATAAACAAATCTAGAGTATTGTTATAAAACATGAAGCAAATAATGTTATTAACTTTAGTAGGCTACTTTGGATTATAATTTTTCTTTTTTTAAAACCTATTTCTGCAAGAAAACAAATCTTACCATTTGCAACAACATGGATGGAGCTAGAGGGTACTATGCTCAGTGGAATAAGCCAGAGAAAGACAAGTACCGAATGATTTCACTCATTTGTGGAGTATAAGAACAAAGCAAAAACTGAAGGAACAAAACAGCAGCAGACTTACAGACTCCAAGAAGGGACTAACAGTTACCAAAGGGAAGGGGTTGGAGAGAGCGGGCAGGAAGGGAGGGAGAAGGGGATTAAAAGGGATTATTATTAGCACACATAACGTAAGGGGGGCATGGGGAAGGCAGTACAGCACAGAGGAGACAAGTAGTGACTGTACAGCATCTTACCACACTGATGGACAGTGACTATAATGGGGTATGTGGAGGCGACTTGATAATAGGGGTGTATGTAGCAACCACAATGTTGCTCATGTGAAACCTTCATAAGATTGTATATCAAAGATACCTCAATTTAAAAAAAAATCTATTTCTGCAGAAAATGAATAGGGAATTTCAGGGGTAAATGCAATACAGTCTGATTTCATTTTCTATTATATGTTAAAACACATCAAAATATCCACAAACATCAAACAAACATCTACAATGTTCTCCCACTCCATCCAAATGTCAAGGCCCTCTAAAATATTTTTTTAATCCATTTCTCTTTTCCATTTGCAGAGTCCCTGCCCTAGTTCTAGCTCTTACTTACTGCTTACATTTCTTGCTTGTGCTAACATCACATCAAGTCTCCCCAGACTTCATTCACCTCACTGCTTCCCAGGTATTCTTTCACATTCCCTATGTAAAGCCTGTGACATTTCTGCAATATAAACAAAGCTCTGCAGGAAGGCCCTACATAAACCTACAGTGGTGTTCAAGTTCACCTCCGACCTTCATACTCCAAAATCTTTGCCCTATACACACAATCTCTGATCCAATCACCGAGGTCTACTTAAAATGCTTTCATTGACCACAGTCTAAGACATCTTATCTCACCCCACCTTTCTACTTGAACTGCTTGAACCAGTTCTAAGATCAACTGTAATCATCTGATAATCACCACTAGACTAAGTAAGGTCAATGGGTGCTGACAGTGGTACCTAACATGACTGTCATAGTTTATGGTGACAACAACTAGAGAAATCTCTTAACAGGAAGAATCAATGACATTCCAACCATCAGTCATCAGTGGATAATCTCAGAAATGGTTCCTGATAGTTCATGGTGAGGCTTGAAATCTAATGTGTTTACTAAAAATGCTACCAACTAAGTCACTTAAATTCACCCCTAAAATTATTTGAATTCCATTCTCTATAAGATACCAGGTTGCATGATTTTTAAATATTATGAATAGAATCTATACAGTTAGGTAAACAATTTTTAAACATCACCCACTTTCATTTTCTAAAAAGTTCATAGAAGCAGCTGGGCACATGAGTTTGTTTCCTGGCTTTCAAAATCCCAAGAAAATCACACAAGTAACTTTATTTACCACTTCACAGGACTTCGTCTGATTGAATAACAAACATGATACTTTTAAACTAACTACAGAAGCACAGAATTTGGGAAAAGGAACCTAGAAACTAGTTAACAATTGGGAAAGAAAATAACTACATTTTAGAAGCTAAACTGTCAAACAGTATATTTAGCCAAAGGGGATGGCGTAGGACTAATATAGAATGGAGAACATTAAAACAAAAACTATCACGAAAATAAGCATTGTTCATACATGCCCAAACTTAAAAATAAAACAAAACAAAAGACAACTCTGAATGATGGAATGACTACAATACCTAGTTCTGGCAATTTAATTTCAGGAGGATCTGGCCACCAGTCCTTCCTAGGTTTATCTGCAATTGAAAACATCTCTATTTCCTTCAAATTTGTGTTAAAAGAAAGCAGTGAAATAAGATTTGGAGACAAAGGGTAGAAGTAGAAATTAAAAACAGAGCCTATACAAATTTGGTAGGCAGTTATTCTACTGGTCATTTTGCAAACTATATGCAAGACTGCATAATGAGGGAGATGCAATGTAACACTATATTTATGTGACACAATATTCCTAAAAAGAGTTGTGAATGTTTGATTTTTTAAAAAATCAAGTTGCAATTTAAACATGATGTTTAAAAACCTTTCATTACGCTATCAGCCACTCCTTATTTATTTCTCAAAGCAGCTCTCTGGCCAGAGCTTTTAAGTGCAACAAGCAGGACAAACCATGAGATTCTGAGCTTGCGCACACTGCTGGGCTTGGAAAATCATCCCGTTACTCCTCAGCCTTTTAAGTGAAGCCTCCCCTTCCTTCAGAATGCCACAGCAACCAGTCAGGAATGCTGGGTGGCAGGAGAGACAAGAGTCAAGTCAGAAATATATATAACTTCTGCCTGAACTGTGAATATTCTTTAAATGAGGTTTGCTTATTACAGGCCAAGATAAGACCATGTTCTTATTCATGAATATTTTAAAGATTCAGATGATCTCCAAATTAGATTAAATAATGACAGTCTTAAATTCTTAAGGGCTAAGATATTAAAAACAAAGGCATAAAATTCTAAGATCAGAAAGGAAAAATACTTAAAAAAAGAAACCACATTTCTTCAAAAAGGCATCACAAAACCAAAGTCAAAGAAACATTCATTTTGAGTTTTTTTCCTCAGTTGAAAGCACTTAACATTTCAATTTTAGGTGGTGAACTATCAGACATTTAGCAAATCCAGCCACAAATAAAGTGGACCAATGTGAGTGGTCCATGATTATCTTTTTCTTTTCCCAGAACTGTTCATACAGAGGGTTCCAGAATTAAGAGCAAAAATGACATTTCAACAAATCTGTTTGAGCCTGTAACTTAAATCTAAATAAATATTATTCAACTAAGTTTTTAGAAGTCTATGTCAAATTATATGCACTCCAACTACTTAAGCCAGACATACATGAAGTCCAAAAGCTAGTTTTTTCTAAGCTGTAAATTAGGAAAATATCTAGTAATATTAATAAACAAAAAGGGAAAAGACACTACACAACCTGGAATGAAACCAAGACAAGTATATATAAAACAAGGCTTCTGAAAAACCATAGGATACTGTAAATACTTTACAGCAACACTTGCAAATATGGCCAAAATTGACAATTATCTTAAAGAATATACTCCAAACTGACTTAAAAAATATATATGTTTATGTGTGTTTGCATGGCTTGTTTAAAAAGTACTTAATTATAAAAAGACAAGGAGAATGAAATCACCTATATTTTTAAAATACGGTAACTAAAAATATTTCTAATTCCTCCCAAAATGAGACTCAAATAGATTTAAAGATTCTTCTGAATATTCAAACTCTTCCCAAGACCAGAAAAATATGAAAGGTTTTTCAATTCCTTCAATGAGGCTAAATTAATTTTGATTCTAAAAGCAGGCAAAATAGCGGTATACCCAAACCCACAGTGAATAAAGACAAAAGCTCCTTGTATGAGAAGCATCTCTTTGGTGTGTGCCTTTTCACATATTCATGGGATGAGAAATGCAGACTTAAATTGATAATGATATAGTTTTAGAAGTGATAAAAAGGATGTATTATCCCTCAAGAAATGGAACTAAAATACAAATCAATTTTCTATAGTTTCCTCTTGTATTATAAATATTAAAGAAAGATTGATATGTACCCAAGAGGTTCCTCTTATTTTCAATGTTACTTCTTTAACCTGGAAAGCATTTTCTTTCTTTCTTTCTTTTTTTTATAAAATGAGTTGTGGAAAAGCTATTGTAGTATTTTACACTATTTTCCAAGTACACTCATAATTTCATGAGAAGAAAAACAATCACAACTCAGGAACTGTATTGTGCTGTGAAAAAAACACAATCACCCAAAGTTGTACATTTTGAGGATCAATACCAAATGGCAAAAGAGAGTATCTTTTGCAATTTATATGCAGTTATATAACTACCTCCTCAATCATCCAAGAACCAAAAAAGAGTAAGATTTGATTAAAATGAAATAAAAGCACTGACAGCTATGAATTCACCCTGAGGACATAACTAACCACTGGTGATACAATCATTTACAGAGAACATTGTCATTTTGCCTTTATAATACATTTTCTCCCTGCTGATACCAGATTAGATTAAATCTAAATGACATACAAAAAAGCTAACATCAAATCCTCATGAGCCAACATTATCTTCTCAAGCACTATTTCCAAGAACTGCTGAAAGCTAGAACCTTTTTTTAAAGGGAAGTATTACAGAAAAAAATTCATCCAATTTAAAAGTACAAATTAGTAATTTGCCCTAATTGCACTCATCTATCATTGTCAAAGCTACTTTTTATTTGACTGGATTTCTTATTTGAAGGAAAGCAGAAAAGCACTTAATCGTTTACACATAATTTGGAGTATACAATATACAGAAGGGACCATCATAATAACAAAACATTTGCTATATTCATTTATATAGTTTTACAGTATTTTTTAAACTAAAACCTCTCTCTCAACATGTTTTTCCAGTTGTATATATAACCTGCTTTAGCAGGTGAAATAATTTGTAATTGACTAGGGGACAGAGAATAAATAATATTAGTACACATTAAGATAAAATAAATGAACAGGAAGTCACTTGTCCTCCTTATTACTTTCAAGATTTTTAAGTTTCTATTAACAGTTAAGGTCAGATTTAGAATTTCCCTAAGTTTCTAACCTTTAAGGTGCAACTACAATAAGCAGCTGAATAAATAAATCTATTTCGAGGGGATAAGTATTTTACTGAAACTATATTAACAGAATCAAGACATCAAGCATTATACAAAGCAAAGGACCTGTATTTGTATCACCAAGTCTAAGCAGCAGCTTTCCTTCCACAAGTAAATATAGTAATTCTTGGAATAAAATTCAAAACCCAATTAAATATTTTCCTAAAACAATCAAATTCTAGTACTAGAGTTGAACACTTCCTTAAAAACAAATGCACTTTCTCACGTCTTCCAATACTTGGTAATTTGGCATTACAAAAGTAACTGCAGTACACTGTACTATTCCTCACACCTTTTTCATGTCATAAATGTTCCATAACTTTTAAAAGACATAATACATGTAAGATATTTTGTGTGGAACCACTACCCACTTTAAGAAAAATAATACTACCACCTTTGAGTCTTTCCCCATCTCATTCTCTTCTCAGTTTAATTATACTGATTATTGTGTTTATCATTTCCTTAATTTTCTTTATGGTTTTAACACCTAAGTTTGTGGACCTGAATACACTGTCTATTTCTGTAGAATTTTTACTTTATATAAATGGAGCCATATTTGTACATATTCTTCTAATGATTGCTTTTATCAGTATTATGTTCTTGATTTTAACTCATGTTTTTTCATGCTATAATTAACCTTCACTGTTGCAGTATGTTTCATTGGATGAATGTATCACACACAATATATTTATCAGTTCTACTGATGATAGAAATTTATGTTGCTTCTAGTGTTTTGCTATTAAATAATTCTGCTCTTCAAATTCTTGTAAATATCTATTGGTATGTGTGCGTGTGAGTTCTGGTTTGTAGGGAATGCATGTTTTCATCTTTAGGAAATAACTTCAAGCTACATTCTAAAGTGGCTGTAACATATATGCTCTCACCCACAGTTTAAAACTATTTTACTTGTACCAAATCCTCAGCAACACATGAAATTGTTAGACTTTTCATTTTTGCCAGTCTTTTGGGTGTGAAATGGTATCTTACTGTGGTTTTATTTACATTTCTCCACTTAACAAGGAAGCTGAGCACCTTTTTCATGTTACTAATCAGTCAACTGCATGTGTTTTGAATATCTTCTCTTTCTTGTATTTTTCATTTTCATCATAGTATATTTTGATAGGCAAACTTAATTTTAATGTAATTTGCTTCTTTCAATCTTTTATAGTTTCTGCTTTTTATGTTATGTAAAAACTCATACACACATGGCCACCAATAATGGACAGTTTTAATGACTATATTATAATCACATTTAAATCTAGATTAACTACATGAGAATCCTACAACAAAGCATAAGGTCCTTTAGGAAAAACATAAAGCATGTATTAAAAAGCAGTCAATCTTAATAATATAAAAAGTAAGTATTAAGTCCTGGGTCTTTCACTTGAGGAGCCTAGTATATTATTTCCCCTAATTACTATTTTCAAAATAAGTAAATATAAACTCATAATATGCTCTATCAGAAAAGGCAGGGTAGGAATTTAGAGAATCCTGTATTCTTTATATTAAAGTGCTTTATTAATAACAAAATGAAACTTCTTTATTTTAGACCATAGTAGTTTACTGAACAAGAGTCAGAAATTAGGTACTGGAAAATAACATAATTTTGTAAAATCTATGATAACCCCACTCCTAGAAATTCCAGAAACAGTTCTCACTGCAGCATTTATTCATGCATTCAACAAATATTACTTACCTACTATGTGCAAGGCATATGGCTAATAACTAGAGATATGAAGATGAGTCAGTGTTCTTATGCTCAATTAGCTTATGATCTAGTAAGTCTTATCTAAGAATAAGATAGTTGGAGAAGATTCAGAGATGAATAGCTGATGATATATAAAGGGGCTCCTATAAGAGTGCTGACTACAGATATCAGCACTTTTCAAGACACTACGACAATGCAGAATGAAATACAAACCTTTAAAAAATATATTTATTCAAGATAAAATAAGGTGAATTCACCTTTATTCAAAAATTTTCCCAATACTAGAATTAAAAGGATATTTCATAAATTTGGGGATAGTTCCACATGGGATAGCACAAATATTATATGTATAAAAGAAAAGAACTAATGATACAATAGGCAGTGGTACATACAAGATGAAAATACATGTCGGTTTTAAAATATTATAAGTTAATTAATTTTGTTCCACTATAATTTTACCACCACAGTATCTAGTCCAAAATAAATGGACTCTCACACTCATATTTCATTTTTCTACAAGATAGACTCTGCAAATGAAAACAATCACACAGCATACTCTCAGAAACTGCTGTCCCTACAAAATATCAGTGCTTAGACTATAAAGCAAGCTATTAAAATTTTAGCCTTCAACAGAAACTTTCAAATTAAAATTATTTCTAAAACCTTAAAATGAACAAGGTCTAAATTTTAGAAATATTTAACAGCACACACAGAGGTATATAAATCTGTTAAAATACAACTCTAACATTTAAGTGACTTTGGTCAATACCCCAACCCCCCCAAAAAACAACCATTACATAGTAATAGACTTTCTTATAGGATCTTATTAGTAATATCCAGTTATTAACAAAATCATTATGTATATACAAACTGGTAGTCATTTTTCATAAAAATTCTAACTATTAAATGTAGCTTTGCCCTATGGGGAAATAGATACCTTAAATAGTTTAAACCTTTATCTCCCAATTTTCTTCTGGCAATAAGGATATATTTTGATATTAATTCCCTATTTCTATTGACCTCAGAAAATAAGCCCCTCTAATCAGGAGCTGGAAAACGGTGAGAGACAAAAAGCTGAAATAAATCATTAATAGCATATTTACCGGTTTGATTCGAAGCTTACCACCAACTACCTCAAGAATGGCATGTCTTCTGGACACCCTCCTGTCTGTTATCTACAGGAAAAACAAATAAAAATGTCAAACACAGTCATCTCCCTAGAAAAACTACAACAATAACAATAAAAAATTCCATAGCAATGTTTCTGAAATTAGTTGGCTAGATATGAAATATATTATTCACTCAACAATGGTATATTGAAATGACTGTCTTCTTGAGCTGACGATGAAAAAATTCAGAAACTAAGGGACCTGCCAAGGACACAGAAGAATAAATGCCAGAGTAGAGACTCAAGTTTAGAATCTAACAGATCTCAAAACCTTTCATTATGATTTCTATCTAGATAGACATTTAGTGGGGATTCTTATCAATAAAATCATAAAACTAGGGGGGAAAATCTACATAATACATACTCATTTCAATGCTTATGAAATACATAAGCATTTCAAATGTAGGAAATACATAGTATGCTATAATAACAAAAGGTTTTAAAAAGCAGGAGTCAGGTAAATATAAAATAAGGTGTGACTACCAGCTTTGGGATCAGAGAGACACAGGTCAGGCTGACCAGCATTTGAGCTTTGAGGCCATCAGCAGTAATTAAGAGAACAGGAAGGCACAATAGTGAAAACCAAGTATTTACACTGAAGAAGAGATTATTATTATTTCTAACATACATATATGTATCTGCTTATTTGGGGGCAATAGTGTCCTATTTATGCTCACAATCATTTCTGCATACCAAAATTTAAAAACTGCACTTTAAATGATGACATTACCAATCAAGCCCTCCCTGAAAGGCTAAAAATACCCAGTTAGGATTATCTTTGTAAATGTGGCTGAAACATAATTTACTAAACACCATAATTATTTGGGCCATCTCTTGGTTACCTTAGTACCTATCATTTCAATTCTGATATTATCTACATCAGGACCAAAATTACCAGTAAAAGCAGACTACAGCAATGCCTAAACTCAATTAAGCCCATTAGTTCTCCAAAAACTTGCAAAACGCAATACTACCAAGCACCAGTACTCATGTTAACCAGAGAGCAGCTCCACACTTAAGGCTGTGCCTATATAAAGAACAACACCAAGATCACCATGGAATAAATTCCACCTCTGCGAATTGTCTACAGAACTACAGGTAATTTTTAGAACATTTTCTAAAATAAAGTATCTTAAAGGAAGCCCATTTAAAAGATACACCATTAGCTACAATTGCTTTCAGAAAAGGAAATATAAAATAATCTAGTCTATCAGGAAAGAGAGGATAGAAATTTGGAGGTTCCTATTTTCTTTCCCATAATGTTCTTAGTGGTCCAAAACAACAGCAGTTACCTGATAACCCACTTTACATTTGCACAGCTTTTATCATTTGCAGAGAACTTTCACTTGAATGTTGAGATTCACCTTAATACTGTCATAGCTTTTATTCACATTTTAAATATCTGGATATTAAAGGTCCAGAGAATTTAAGTAACTTGTATAGGTTACTCTTTGAGTAGTTAGTATGCCAATCCATACTCATTAATAAAAATAAGTATGTGAGGAAAATAGACATATATGACCCTATGCCTACATGTAATCACTCAGAAGTAGGTTCAAGAAATGCAAAGTATTCTGTGGCAGGGAGTAAGGAGTTTCTATTTCTAACTTGGGTAATACAAATAAATTTTCTAACCAACAGAATAACAAACTGTCAAATATAAAACCATGACATACAGTGATAATTCCTGTTAACAGTCCAGCTTAGGTTTCTTTCTAAACCGTATTTTTGCAGGAAGTAATAATAGACTTCTCCTATCTCAGCGTTTCTTTGAAGTAGGCTTCAAGAAAAAGATATTTTAATATAAAAATCATAATGTGACCTCTAGTGGACACATGATTCCATAACAGCATAATCTCACTGCAAGCTGTACATTTCTAGAAAGTACCCAAAAAAGTGTTTTAAAGAGTCTTTTAAATTAACATCATTCAGGCACTTAGCTAGAATTGTCCCTTTCAAACCATACCTCTATATAATCAATAAGCTACAAAAAGTGATTTATGCTTTTTCAGTGGGAAGCTTAAAGTTTTAACAAATTATCATTAAAGCTTATTTTCATTTCAGGATGGGGGTAGGGACAGTAGAGGATGGGTTGGGGGGTACAAATAGATTATTGTGAAGATATGATGGCCTGCTTTATATAACAACAAACACTGATCACTGCTCTTTGTGTAAATATCCATACAATCTTACTTATATATTAACTGTAATAGCAATTATCAAGAATCAAGGCACTGTTCTATATTTATCATGTATTATTTTTTACTATTCACAGAAACTGTGGAGAAGATACTATTATCTTCATTTTATAGGTGAGAAATGGAAGTGCAGAGAGCTTAAGCAAGTACTGAAAATTACACAGCCAATAAGGAGTAGGACTGGGATTTGAACCCAAGGAACCTGATTCTAGAGACACCTTTGCTCTTAACACTGCACTGCCCCCTTCATTACCATTATGTAAAACATCATTTTTGTATTATTTATTATCAGCTTAACTGTCTACACTAGAACATACTAAAGAGCCGGAAATCAGGCTGAATGGCTATTTAAAAAGTAGACCTTGGAAAATTCAAACCCTAAAACAGTGCCAAGAGGCCTTCAAGCTTTCATTTGATCCTGTTTATTCTAATGTCATACCCAATCTAGTAAGATGTGTTATCTGAATTCCCAGTTCTTGATTCACAGCAGATAATAAAATTGGTTGGGTTTAGTAGGCAGTGCATTGACAATGGGGGAGAAATGACTAAGACTGGTCTGCAAGTGGAAAGACAAAGGATATAGAAAAGTAAAAGAAACCCAAAAACTCAAAAAGGCCACAATGGCTAGAGGCTGGTGAGAGTAGAGACAAATGACATAACATATTTTAAAAGACAGTGAAGGCTTTCATGAGTTTCTCAATGATTACCAAGTGTCACCAGGTTAAATGACAACTTCATTTGAAAGTCAACATTTCGCATCTTAGGAGGCCATAGAAGTAGTTAATATGAAGGAATTCCAGTTTCTGTTGAATAGCTGTAGCCATCTAAATTCTAATCATTACACACATCCTCCAAAAAATCAGAGATCAGCAAACAGAGCAAGTAAAACCACCTATATTCCACATCTAATACACAACTAGGAAACAGATGACCACAAACTTTGATTTACACAAGAAGGGGAACAAACACTCAATGCAGAGCAAGCCTCAGGACCTATGCTGGAATAGAAAGACAGGTGGCAACTGGGAGGAAGAGAAGAGAGGAATGAGAACCTAGAAGTGGTGGGGTGCAGATATCCCTCCCAGAAGAAAGTCATAACTCAAGTGTGAAATGCTGAAAATGCACCTTGCATCCAGTTCAAAAGACCAGCAAAACTGGAAACAATCTGGGCATTGACAATCAATAAAAAAATAATCTATGAGTCTGTATTGATCTCAATAAAGGGGCTGGAGCTAGGGCAGGGAGGAAAAGCCTCTTTACGAAAGAATGCCAGCTAATGTACAAGAAATGATCAAACCAGAATATTACTGTTTTGTAATTACCAATGTAATAATTAACTCAGTAAAGGCTCAATGGATGTTAACTTTCAGGAGGAAGCTTGAGAGGAAACAATATTCATGGAGTTTCAAAGCATCACTCAGAAAGGGAACAGTGTTTTCACTGCAGAAATCTGATAGGCACCACCTTCCCCAGGTGGTCACACTTATAAAACCACTACAAACAGGAAACTGAGAGTGGGGCCTCCCGATAGGCTGTCTTGAGTTCACGTCATCTACTGAGCATTCTTGCCCAAAATGGTTAACCTGAATCTAATTATGTGGAAACAATCTGACAAACCAAAATCGCGGCATTCTATGAAACTGACCTAGATCCCAAAAGCAGTGCCATGAATGACAGTTCTAGATTTAAAAAGATAACAAGTGATCAGATCCTAATTTTTTTAAATGCTAAAAAGGATATTATTGGAAAAGTTGAATAAACTGAATAAGGAATATTAACATTTACTGCACAGATTTCTGGAGTGTGATGTGTGTGTATCTATATATACATATACAAACACATTATATATGTATTATTTATGTGAAAATGTCCTTGCTGTTAGGTGATACGTGTTGACATACTTAGGGATGAAGTGACATAATGCATGCACTGCACTTTCAAATGGGTTCAGGAGAAAGAAAAAAAATAAATGAGAGAAAGTAAACATGGCAAAATATTAACCATTAATTAACCTAAGTTAAGGATATGTAAGTGTTTACTGTACTCTTCTTTCAACTTTTCTGCAAGTATGAAATCTTTTAAAATGAAAAGCTGAGGGAAGTTAATATTTCAAAAATGTTATTTAAAAGGGTTATCAAGTTACCTAGAATATGTAATGTACATGATTGCTACATAACATGATAAATGAAATGTAACTATTTACAGTCATTTAAATTTAAAAAGCCTCTATTTAGCTACATGTGATTTTTATTTTAAACTTTGATTTAGATTAGGCACCACAAACTGGTAGCCAATGGACAAAAATCACTCACAAGGGTTTCTTTTATGTTTTACTTTGAAAAGTATGTGTACTGCCCATCTCACCATAAGTCCCCAGCACTCCCTAAAATCTTCCATGGAGCCCACTTCACTCTTTATTGCACACCTGGCCTCTGTAGACATTTGAATTGGCAAGTCATGAATTTAAACTACAGCTATACTTTCTACTTTTTTTTCTTTCTTTTTTTACTGGAATATAGTTGATACACAATATTATATTGGGTTCAGATGTACAACAGAGTGATTCTACAATATTATTGGCTATTGAGGTACAAACTTCAAATTAGTCACAGAACTGGAAGTACCTATACTTTGTAGATGCTAATTCTTCACATGTGACACTGTACCTAGTTGCCACTAGCTGCTTCATCAAGATATTCATTTCTTCTTCCATAGTAGTATTACTTCAATTCTGTTTAGGGTAACAATGCACCCAGTTAAAAATATCCAAATGGCCATGTGGCACACTTCTAACAAATGAAGTAAGAGG